TCGATGTGCAATGCTGCAACTTTTTGAAATATTATATGGAAAAAATTTTACAAATTGTCTAGACAAAAAATGTTTTTGTTTTGATACATCACCTTATTATTGCATCATGCTTGAATTCGATGTCCAATGCTGGCAAATTTGTTAAATATTATAAGGAAAATTTTGACCGATTATCGAGACAAAAACAAAGTTTTTTGTTGTGATACATCACCTTATTATTGCATCATGCTTTTACTCTTGGAATTGTAATTGATTTGTTATATACACACAGATAAAATCATTTCAACGAACGAAGATTAAATGATGATTTAGCATAAAACACGTTTAATATAAATGCGGTATTAATTATTTCATCTCTGCTAATTATTTTAAGTGCGCCGAATCCACAAAAAAAAATATCAAACAATATCGTACATTTATTTCTGATAGAGAATAAAAAATATTTATTTATTATTTTCCAACCAATATATTTTGACTGTCAAAAATATTATGATTGGCATAACAGGGTGACATTAAAAACCAAAACGGTCTGTTTTATATTTGTTTTCAATGGCTTCATTCATTTAACAGCTGATTTCATTAACAGCTGTACTGAAACTGTTCCTTATTAAATTTGACTTGAAAAGTAGCAAAAGGTTCCTGCAATATGTCAGTCGTTTTAGATAAAATGCTACATTTACATCAAACACGTTTTTATGATAACACATCATTTTTGTTTGTCATTTCATTTTAATTTATGTCGAATAAATACGAATTTCCATAAAACACGTTTAATGTAAATCTAACAGTAGGTTTACATCAAACTTTTTATATGAAAAATCATTGAATAATGATCATTGAACGTATCATTATTTTCTTCAAATACACTTGGTGTAAACATAGTCTTATTTTCGTGACTAGCTCCACTTTCCATGTCATGGAACGTTTTTCATTATGTTATTTAAATCAAAAGAAGATAATTGTATAAATAAAAATTCTTAAGAGTAATTATCTCTAGATGCTATATATTTATTAAGTATTAGTATAAAATATATTTAGTGCAAATTTAAGATTATTTAAATATACTCGTATAGTAAAATATCTATAAATTTATATATTTGTATAGTATAGATATTAGAAAACTCATAAGTATTAGGATAATTATTAAAGCATGTCGTGTTGTATACATATAACTAATTACAAATATCAATTTATTTTTGAAAGTGCAGTATTTGAATATCATCATATTCGAAATATAACTGAGCAACAACCATGTGTATTTTTATTGCCGATTGCCACTGGTCCAGTACGTTGGGCGCCACATTAATTGGCATTGGTATTCGAATACTGCACTTTTAGCATAAGTTAAACATAAGCATTAGGGTTAGACATATTAGTCTTACACATTTGGAACTTTGAAAATCTATTTTTCGAATTTTAATTTCATATTTTAAAATATTATTTCATTTTTTTCTTTTTATGTTCCATTTTGGTTCTGAATTATCCGTTAACGCTTCACTATTAAAAACCATGATTGGAACAACAAAAACAACACAACAAACATTACAATTGTTAAACTCAAAAACACCATCTACAAAATTACACAATCACATCAAAAACGCATTCCGCCTTCCTCCAAATAGTTTGGCCAACCAATGGGAACCACCAAGACCACAATCGTCAATCGCTCCTTCGATGAAATGGGTAATGTTATGTGGCAGCAAGAAGCTGCTGAATTTGTTGAACAATTTCCACAGCGTAGGCGCCCAAAGGCTGCTGCGCTACTGCTAAGGCAAAGTGCCTCGGCAGGAACTTTATATAGGAAACCAGAAACCGTTATCCCAACCCTAAATAAACGAGCCAGTGGTGGAGAACTTTTGACACCGCAGCACAGGCATCAGCGTGATTTGTTTAGCGGCGATTTGGGTATACCCGATGTTAATAGCCATGTAGGTAGTGTGGTCCACACATTCGAAACCATGGCTCTACAGCGTCAATTGGCCGAAAGGCAGAGGATTCAACGTGAACGGGAACACAGTAAGTATTTGATGGAATTGCTAGCAATGCAAGCTGCAGCTGCTGCCATTGCAGCGGCATCATCTAATACAGCACCTGCGACAATCATATCACCAGCCACATCCAAACGCGCATTCATAACATGTGGCAACTCGAAAAGCACCTCAAAAAATAACACCAATGGCAACCCGTCTAAATTGCAACAACTAAAAAAGAAAACTCAAGAGACACGGCAAAAAATCGTACAACATATTCTACAACAAAACTCCGGAGTCAAGCACTCGGAACCAAATTTAGCAGCACCGGAACAAGAACTAAAGCAACAGATTAGGGCATCTTCGAATTCAGAGGTTTATTATCGTAACATCGATGATGATTATCGTAAGAATCTTTTTGGTACCTTAAGTCAAAGGAAAATAGCTCCCCTACAGGAAACAATGCAGGTTTCCAATACTCTAGACTCTCAGAGCTATTGTGAAAATTCACAAATTGTTAATCAGGCTTTTGATGAAATATTTGAGGGTTACAGTGGCCTAGAGGAGGAAGAAGAGGGGGAGGAGGAACGCGAGATCAATGATAATCAAAAGAATAGTTTAGTGCCTCCCACGGATCACCAAGCCTCTTCATGTTTTATCCAACAATATGGAAGACCGGGTGTAACGCCTAAAAGACTACCACCTTTATCTCATAAGAAAGCTGCTCCTCCTCCGCCACCACCCAAGAGTCACCACAACCCCTCCTCATCTGGCCACATTAAACGTAAAATAATGCCTTTTTGCGAATCGAAACAAAGATCCTCCACCTTTCACAATCTTGTGGAACGTCTTAAGACCCAACCTCAAAAATATACCACGCATTTTAAGAATTTAAATAAAACTTCCTCAGATAATTTTCTTAAACACGATCAGTTACCTTCAAATTCCTCCAAGTTTTTGCAAAAATTCCCACCTCACTTACATCTTAATCGTGAAGTAGAGGGCGAGGAGAGTCCAGAAAATCAAGATCAAGATTTCTTAAGAGGTTCCACCCTCTCCCAATCATTTGTTCGCCATTTGAAGGTTCACAAGGCTTCCAAGGGCAAAGCACCTCCTCCACCAATAGGGTTACAATCTCAACACCCGCAACCACAACAAACACAATCAGCCAAACATCAAATGAAAACGAGTGAAGCTCTTCGGCAGGTTCTTCTGTTTTCTCGTAAATCCAAATCTTCCGGGGAACTATTGCCCCACTGCGATTTGTATAGTACCGTGGAACCACGTAAGTATTATCGCCGACTGGAGGAAAGTGTTGAACGTAATAAGGAACGTTTTATTGATGGAGGTAACAATGGAATGCCGGTAAATGTTAATAGGAATCAGCAGTCAGCTGAGATTTGAAAAGGGAATGGACTTTTAGATTCCGAAGAAGATAAGCTTATAAATTAAATCGTCCGTAGTTTCTGAAGTTTGCTCAATTTTTTCTTTAGTTTTTAAGGAAGCTCATATGAGATTTTAACTCAGTGATGGAAATTAGTATGTGTGATTATGTTTTTAGTTCCAATATTGTCATTATTAACTTAGCTACTCAGTTAGAAGTACAGACTGGGAAAGCAGAGGCTCTTGTAAGCTCGAAGGGCATAGGGAGCTGTGTGATAGATAGTAATATACTACTTACTTAGCTGTCTTGTGACAGAACATTTTTTTCATAATCCCTGCTTAAAAAAGATTTTCAGGCGCGTCGGTCTTGCGCGAAGCTCTTCCAAATTGAAAGACCATGTTTCGAAATGTTCTCTTCCAGTTCCTCTTTCCAGCTAATTCGTGGCATTCCCCTTCTGCGTGAACCATCAGTTGGCTCGCCTTTATATGCCTTTTGTGCTGGTGAATCCTCATCCATTCTCACACATTGACCTAAAGGTCGTTTACATTTAACCGGATTTGGATAACCCAGTGGGTTTAAATTTTCAATTCCTTTGAATATATGCCAAATAAATCCTCATAAAGTAGGTTAACCCGGTAAAAAGTTCTAATGTAAATGCCGTACTAGCCAATGTAGTCGCTGCAACTCGATACGTTTGACAATGCCGAAGTCCGAGAATAGATGGTACAACTGAAGATTCATTCAACGGGGATATTCACACTCCTCATCTGCTTGCGAAAGTATCCATGCTTATGATCCATATAACAGCACGGGTAGTATCAGCGTCTTGTAGAGTGAGTTTGGACTACTTACTTAGACCATAGTAGTATTTGTTTCCCAACACTATCCTTCTGCGAATTTCAAAACTGATGTCATTAGTTTTATTTATGGAGGTACCAAGGTACATAAAATCTTTGACTACCCCGATGGCGTAGTTCTCAAGTTTCACAGTTGGTCCGAGTCTACTGGATGTCTAGCGCGTTGATACCATCAACTTCGTCTTCTCCCCATTTATTACCAGATCAGACCCTTTCTCAATTTGTTCAAAGGTGGCTGTTAGCGCTCTCGAGTCTACTGGATGTCTTGCGCGTTGATACCATCAACTTTGTCTTCTCGCCATTTATTGCCAGATCAGACCCTTTCTCAATTTGTGAAAGATGGCTGTTACCGCTCTCAGTGTTCGATCCATTATATCGATCGGCGTAGGCGAGTAACATGTATTGTTTGGTGTACCGAGTGAACACGAAACCTTTGCAACTTCTATGACCTTTTCCAGCAGGATGTTAAACAGGTCACACGACAAAATGTCAACTTTTTCTGAATCCTCGTTCGATATCAAAGGGCTCCGAGGGGTCCTTTCTGATTTTAACCGCTGATCCAGAAATGCCGAACACAGACATGGCTTTAAACACTTCTGATCGAAATAGGTGGAATGTGTCAATTTGGGCCTTTTCAGGATTTGGCGCAGAGCAAAAATATGGTCTATGGTAGATTCGCCATGTCTGAAGACGCATTAGCCTTTTCCAGGATTTGGCGCTGTGCCTTTTCCAGAATTTGGCGCTGGGCCTTTTCCAGGATTTGGAGCAGAGCAAAAATATGGTCTATGGTAGATTCGCCATATCTGAAGCCGCATTGGTATGGTCCAATAATGTCATTGACCATTGGCTTCAGTCGTTCACACAGCACGATGGATAGCACTTTATATGCGATGGGAAAGAGTCTGATTCCACTATACTTGGCACATATCGTCTTGTCTCATTTTCTGTGCACGGGACATAATATGCTGAGATATTAACCATTGGACATGCATTGCTCTTGCAATGCAATGAAGTCTTAAATAGTTCGGCTGATGACCTATCGGCTCCTGTTGCTTTATTGTTTTTCAGCCGATTAATTGCTATTCTGACTTCATCTTGGCTAGGTGGTATACAATCTATACCGTCATATCTTCAGTCGCTCATACAGCTCGCTGGATAGCACTTTATATGCAATGGGAAGGAGTATGATTCCTCTATAGTTGGCACATATCGTATTGTCTCATTTTCTGTACACGGGACATAGGATGCTGAGGTTTTAATCATTGGACATGTATTGCTCTTGCAATATAATGCAGTCATGAATAGTTCGGCTGGTAACCCATCGGCTCCTGCTGCTTTATTTTTCTTCAGACGATTAATTGTTATTCTGACCTCATCTTTGCTAGTTGGTATACAATCTATACCGTCATCTCTTACTGGTTCTGGGGTATCTTCTTTATCGCTACATTTTGATACCAGAAGCTTTTCAAAATGTTCCTTCCAGATCCTCAACACGGTTTCCATCTTCATCTCCGGACTTCATTCTGACTCCTGTACATCGTCCGAATCGATATTGGTACCTTGTATCGATCGAACGTATAAACAGTGTATAATAACATTCGTCTATCACAATATTATCGATTTGATTTCTCGTTGTTTGATAGAGAGAAATCTAGGTGGCGTTTTGTATATCGAAATGCTCGAATCTGGTGCTGCTAACTACCAGTTTTTTTGCTGCCGCGAAGTTAATCAACCGTATGCAGTTGTCGGATGTTTTTTTCATGGAAGCTGAATTTTCCGACGGTGGCACCAAAAATATTTCCCTTCCGTTTTTTGCATTAAAATCTATTTGTCTTCCGTCGGAGCGCAAATAAGACTGATGTAGAAGAACTTCGCTTTTATACGGATTGTACTAATTCGCTCATCCAGTCTGCTGGTAACCCATCGGCACCTGCTGCTTTATTATTCTTCAGCCGATTGATTTCTATTCTGACCTCATCTTGGCTAGGTGGTATACATTCTATACCGTCATCTATTATCGGTTCTGGGGTATCCTTTTCCCCATTACAATTTGATACCAGAAGCTTTTCCAAATGCTCCTTCCAGATCCTCAATACGCTGTCTGTTTCTGTCACCAGGGTTCCATCTTCATCTCTACACTAAAGCCCTCGGTTTGGTGTTTTACTCGTTGGTAAAATTTCACGATTTTCTTGCTCTTTCTCCCTTTTTCTGAACAAACGATTCTCCTCTCTCTTTTTCCCCGATAATTCTCTCTTCCTTCACGTGTTTCTACTGTCTACAGCAGGCATGCTTACCATAGAGTCAGCGACAATCGTTTGCCGTGTGTTTCTTATTGGCAACGGAAAAATCGCGACGGCTGACGTTCGCGTCTAGCGGCATGACGCTAGAATAGATTTTATTCATTTTTGCTCAGCGTCATACTCAAAATTTCTCTCTTCAACAACAGTGCTACCAAATTTCAATGAGAATTTATATCAAAACATATGGCAGTGCTGTTAAAAAAACAAATATTTTCAAGGATTGTGAACGTTTTTTTAACGAATTAATAATAAAATGGAAGAAAAATAATTTTTTCAATAATTTTATCCAAGTTCCTTGACATTATTGTTTATTAAATAATAAATTGATTTTGATTTGCACAACGTAAAATTTTCTGTCAGAAAATGAAAACAAATAATTGACATTTTGTACCGCAAACTCTTTCGTTTGGTTTTCACGCCGGCGAAAAAGTATGAGTCTAAACGCAACCAGAGAGCCACGAGTCAGCGTCATACTTTTTCGCCGGCGTGAAAACCAAACGAAGGAGTTAGCGGTACAAAATGTCAATTATTTGTTTTAATTTTTTGACAGAAAATGTTACGTTGTGCAAACCAAAATCAATTTATTATTTAATAAACAATAATGTCAAGGAACTTGGATAATATTATTGAAAAAATTATTTTTCTTCCATTTTATTATTAATTCGTTAAAAAAACGTCCACAATCCTTAAAAATATTTGTTTTTTAACAGCACTGCCATATGTTTTGATATAAATTCTCATTGAAATTTGGTAGCACTGTTCATTTTTACCTAAAATATGGCAACTCAATTGAGAGCAAGAGAGAAATTTTGAGTATGACGCTGAGCAAAAATGAATAAAATCTATTCTAGCGTCATGCCGTTAGACGCGAACGTCAGCCGTCGCGATTTCCCGTTGCCAATAAGAAACACACGGCAAACTACTTTCGCTGACTCTAGACTCTATGGTTGCGTTTAGACTCTATGACGCTGACTCGTGACCCTCTGGTTGCGTTTAGACTCTAACTGAGGGTCGATGGGTAAACACATATTCTCTTTTCTCTCTTTACGTCAGTCGTTTTTAATGGCGAATTCTCAGTTACGCTTGCACACACTTGCTCTTAATTTAGTTTTGCCCAACACTGATCTACAGGGTTGCCCTATACGCTGCGTTTTCATTTCAGTAGCATTACGACGCTCCTGATCGTACCACGGGCTTCTTGATGATGTAGGCTGAATTCTCCGACGATGGGACTAAAAATATTTTCCCTTCCGATTTTTGCATTAAAATCTCCTAGAAAAATTTTAATGTCATGGCCAGCGATAATATGCTGTTTACAGGTGTTCTTTGTCTTCCGTCGGAGCATGGGCGTAACTAAGACTTCTTCTACATAACTTCGATTTTATACGGATTATAGCAATTCGCTCATCTACTGGAGTGAATCTGTAGACGAGGTCTTTTATTCTCCTGTTAACCATAAATCCGCAGCCAAATTAATGTATCGTTTCATGGCAGCTATAATACCGCGCATAATCGTCTGATTTACTTACGCCTGTCCCTTTCCATCGCATTTCCAGTAAAGCAATACTCATAATGTAGGCTTTGTACTTCTTGCGTAGATCCGCCAGTGCGAAAACAGCGCATGTTGTGTACAATTGGCGTCCATTCCAAGTGCAGATTCGCATATCGTGGTCCTTCATACGTTTGCGGGGATCGTCAACATTAGAGGGGGTTTTAGTTTTCTCTTTCGTTGCTTTTTCATAGTTGGAGGTGTTTTCGGAGTGTGGGCGACTAAACCGACGCCTCAACCTATTTTTATAGTACTCATGGGTGAAATCGCGACACATATCAGCTCACTACTTCAAAGGGTAATGAAAATAGCTA